GAAAAGGATGGAGAAAGATTTAGAGGTAGAAAAGCGGAAGCCATGGTTTGTGGCCCAGGAAGATACTGATGAGATTGCAGATTGAAGAAATTGGTAGAGATTTGGTATGGATGTGCCAGAGGCATAGATGGTTAAATCATCAACATATAGTGATGATCGGGCTCCTGGTGGTAAAACTGAGACAATATCATTAACAGCAAGAAGGAATAAAGTGGTACTGAGTACACTGCCTTGTGGGACCCCTTCGATTTGAGGAAAGAAAGATGATGTGGCAGTAGCAATTTTGACCTGAAAAGTGCGTTGGGAGAGGAAAGACTTTATGAAGACACCCATGTTTCCACGTATGCCTAGAGACGTCAATTGTTGGAGAATATGGTACCGCCATGTCGTATCATATGCCTTTCTAGATCAAAGAATATAGCTAGTACAGATTCATGGCGTGCAAATGCAGATGTAATATATGTCTCAAAATGAGCAAGGGGGTCAGCTGTGCTTCTGGCACGGCGAAAACCGAATTGGGAAGGAGAGAGGAGATTGTGATATTCAAGATACCACATTAAGCGGAAGTTCACCATTCGCTCTAATAGTTTGCATAAGCAGCTAGTTAGTGCGATGGGGCGATAGTCTTGAGGGAGGGCTACCCGATTTATTGGGTTTCAGGAAGGGAAGGATAAGAGCTTCTCGCCAATTAGAAGGAAAATTTCCTGATGTCCATATGTGGTTGTAAATTTTTAATAGGAAGGATAAGGAGGAAGATGGGAGTTGCCGAAGCATACGGTAGTGAATACCATCAGGGCCTTCATGAGTGTTACGGCACGATTGTAGGGCAGCAATGAGTTCAGAGGAAGAAAATGGAGCATTATAGGACTCAGCGGAGGATGGGGTGAAGGTAATGGGGGTACTTTCTCTGGTGGTTTTGATAGAAGAGAAGTGTGGAGAGAGGTGAGAACCACTACTGACCTGGCTGAAATAATCACCCAGTTCATTAGCGACTTGGAGAGGTTCAGAAATGAGGGTATTTTGAATATGGAGGACGGGGGTAGGATGGGGGGGATGTTTGCCTGATAGTTTATGGATTCGGCGCCAAACATTTGAGATAGATGTAGAGGATGTAATTGATGAAACATAATTTCGCCAGCTATTTGTTTTACTATTCCGAATTGTACGCCGAAGACAGGCAGATGCTCTTTTAAAGGAGATAAGGGCTGATAGTTGATTTGGAGTACCTCTTTTGTAGCGATAACTGTTCCAGGCTGCACGTTTTAAGCGAAGTGCTTTAGTGCAATCAGAATTCCACCATGGAACACATTTAGAGGTATATGGTCTTGAGGTTCGAGGGATAGCTGTATGTGCAGCTCTTAAGACTGTAGTTGTGAAACACTGTATCATTTCTGAAATGGAGGTGAGGGAGGAAGGAGGGTTATGAATAGCAGAGAGTGAAGTGAAAGTATGCCAGTCGGCTCTATCAAAGCACCAACGTGGGGAGTTAGGAAGTGGTACGTATGAAGTAGGAGAAAGGAGAACTGGAAAGTGGTCACTATAGGGAAAGTGGTCTAATACTGACCAGTGGAAATCTAAATGAAGGGAAGGGGAGCATAGGGAGAGGTCAATGCATGAAAAAGATTGTGTGCGTGTATCAAAGTGTGTGGGGCGATCTGAATTTAGAATTGTAAGGTCAGCTGTGGAGAGAAAGCGCTCTAGAGATCGGCCTCGGGAGTTGGTGATAGAATCACCCCAAAGAGTGTGGCGGCAGTTAAAGTCACCAACTATGAGGAAAGGTGGTTGAAGTTGGGAAATTAGATTTTCAAAAGCAACAAAGTCAATGGGGTGGGAAGGGGAGAAGTAGACTGAAATCACTGTGATCCAACGATGAAGGAAGATACGAATAACTGTACAAGGGACATTGGTTTGAAAGGTAGGTGTGACATAAGGTGTTTTCTGATTGATGAGTATGGACGAGACATAAAGGGAATGTGGGGAAGAGACAAAATGGTAATTGGGGATTGGTATTGGAGGATGTGTGAGAAAGGTTTCTTGGAGACATACAATAGATGGGTTATAAGAGGAAAGGATATGACGAAGGTCAGGTCTGTGGGAGCGGAAACCGCGAATATTCCAATGAAGGATAGTTATACTTTCGTTGATTTAGTGATATAGATTGTAGTACGTGTTGGAGAATTTGAAGGGGTAGTAGCTAGAGGGTGGGATAAGGACTGAGAGGTTTGAGATGGGAGAGGTGTGGGAGTTGGTGTTCTATCAGGATGGGTATTAGGAGATGGAGGGTCTGAGGAAGGGGATATTTGTGACATACTATCAGGATGGGTATTAGGAGATGGAGGGTCTGAGGAAGGGGATACTTGTGACATAAGGGATTCACGTGTGTATCCAGGAGGGAGTGGAAGGGATAGAGGGGATGGTGGGAGGGTTAATGTGGGTGGGGTTGGAGTCAGGGGGGATGGGCTGTGTTGGGAGGGGGTAGGAGGATAGGGTGTAGGGGGGATATCGTTAGGTGGAGGATGGATATCGGCAGTCACTTGGTGTGTGGAGGGATCAGAAGTTGTAGGTTGAGTGTCAGTTTTCATTATGTATTCTTGAATGTTTTCAATAGTTTCTTCTGTGGAGTTGGTTGGGGAGTTTTGGGGGATAAAGGATTTCTTATGAGGGGGGGAGGAGAGGACTGGTGTTTCTGGTGGAGGTGATTGTGTGGTTGGGGAAGAGGGGGTGGAACGTTTGTTCTGTCTGTTTCGGGTAGTGCGAGGAGGGAGGGGGGAAGGTGTTAAGGTTGTAGTGGTGATTGGAGTATCTGTAGTGGAGATGGGAGTGTCTGGGTTTAGGATGGCAAAAGAGTTTGATTGGGGAAGGTAGGATGTAGAAGTGGGGGGGTTAGATGTAGGAGGGGTGGGTTTAGGAGAAGTGGTAGAAGTGGTAGAATGGGCTGTATTAATGGAGTAAGGAGTAAGAGAGAAACCACGTCGTCGTGCTTCCTGTCTGGCTTCACGCAGTGTGAGTCCAAGTCTGAATCTGAGAGTTGCTACCTCAGATTCAAATTTGTAGGTGGGACAGCCCCTATAAAATACATTATGGGGGCCGCCACAGTTGGCACATGTGCGTGAGTTTGCAGGGCAGTTAGATCGGATATGGCCAGTTTGGGCACATAGTGGACATCTGGCTGTGGAACGGCAATGTTTGGCTGGGTGTCCTAGACGCCAGCAATTTTGGCACTGACGTGGGGGAGGTTGGTATGGGCGGACAGGGAGGGATTCTCCTCCTATGTAGACGTTAAAGGGAAGGTCATGTCTACGGAAGGTAATTTTGGCGATGTTAGTGGGTTTCTTACGATGACCTCTGGGAGGGATGGAGTAACATTGTACTGATGTCGCATCGTAGTCTGTGAGACAGGCGAGTAAGTCTTCTCCACAATCTGACCAATCTTTGTCATAGATTGGGCAGTTTTCTGGGGAGATAGATACGGTTCCAGTGCAAGTATTGAGAGTTGGATGGGGTTCTGCAAGGATAGGGTTACCATATAAATCAGTTAGTTTTGCTAATGCTATAGCTTGATTTTCTGATGTTACTGTGACAAGACGGGAGCGGTCGGGTCGGCTACGGAAAGAAACTTTACCTACTTGTTTTTGTAGACATTGTTGGAAGAGAAGGGTGTTGTCAGAGTAGGGAGCTGTGGGAGGGATCACGAAAAATCGGTCCCATTTGGCTGCACTAAAGAGAGTGTTCAAGATTGTTGTAGGGGTGGTAGAGGGGCGGGGGCGTGACGAAGATGGAGTAGTGTTGATGGAGGTAGTGTTACGGAGAGGTGGGCAATAAGGCTGTAAGGTAATAAGGGAGGATGGAGTGGTTGATGTTGGAGGTTGTGGGGGTAGAGGTGTTGAAGTTGAGCTTGTTGGGAGAGTGGAAATGTTCCTTGAGGGTTGGTTGTTGGCTATTGTACTATTAGGCATTGATGAAGGGGTATTTATTACAGTGTTCGGAGCCGTGGTCAAAGGAGAGCCTGGGGTCTGGGAATCGGGTGGGTTTTCTTCGTTGGGGCTATTTGATAAAGGGGCAAGCCTCATTGCCCCTAATAGTGGAGATAGATTTTCATTATTGGCCATGGTAAGCCTGGATGATGTTGGGGATAAAAACAGTCCACCCCTCAGGGTCCCCTTGAGGGGTAAGGGCTAGAACTAAATCAGGGGAATACCGTGCCCATGGTTCCCTCAGGCCGTTCAGGACTGGCACTAAGTCAGCCTTTCATCCTTTCAGCACGGCTCTCACACCTTAGGAGGTGGATAGCAGAAGGGTTTGGTGAAGGGATAGAAACAAAAGTGGGAAGGGAAAAAGGCCATGCATAATTAGTTGAGTCGAGGGCTGAGTCCCAAGGTTGGGGAGTTCCCATCATTGGGTCCCAGTCTCCGCCTCCTAAGCCCCCCCACGACAACAACGGGCAAGGGATTGGGGGGGCCAAGCTATAACTAAAGCATCATGATTAGGGTTGTGACAAACAATTATTTAAAATAATTTTATAAGCTTAAGCTTTAAGCTCATAAAATAATCCTTTAAAGCGTATAATTAATCTTTTTCACACAAAATATTATTTTTAAGCTTAATTAATTGTAGTGAAATGCGTGAAAATGTTCATGTTATAAACAATAATTAATGGATATTTCGGATCAATATTAAAATGAGGATAATAAATACTATTCGAAACTTGAAAATTGTATTCTAACAAACAAACAAATTGTATTACAACAATAAATTATATTCCAATAAATATAAAAATAATGTTTCTTTAACAAAAGCATTTGTAACATAGAAAAAAAATAACAAATGAATAGCACAGAGTGTTATGTTTCTATCTATTTAACATTTATATTTAAATACTATTAACAGAACACAATTCAGAATTAAAAATTATTGCATTTGATTATCATTGTCTGTTTCAGATTGTCAAAGAGAAATCTGCGTCTATTGTCTGCTAGCACATTTTTATACGCTGAAAATACTCGTTCGGCATCACATGACACAAGTGGTGCATAACGGAATGCAGATATATCTGAACTAGATAACTGTTTCACGTATTCGCTTTCAGCTTCTTTCAATTTTCCAGATAGAAGAGAATTTATTTCCTTCATGACTAAGAAACCCTTATTCTTTTTCATGACCGCCTGCAACTTTTTATAGTACTGTTGGTCGTACATTTTCTTAAGGTTTGTTTCAACTTGTTCCATAAGATTGATAGCTGTTTTAAGATCTAAGCCCCGAGTCTCAAGCTTCTCAATCGTCGATGGAATAATAGAAAAGTTGGATGAAATGAAAGATAGGCTATACTTCAATTCAACATTGTTTACCAGCTCCTGAGCATCATTCGCATTAAATGAAAGCACAACCTCGCTAACCTTTTCTAAATGAGTTGAATGATACACAGCCGCTTGTAACCATGTCCCCCACCTTGTTATTACAGGTAAGGGAGGTAAAGGAACTTCAGGGTACGAATCTCTAAATTTCTGAACTCTTAGGGGTGCTTTAACAAACACTGTTTTAGCTGCACTAATGAGCCGATTGACCTCTGAGTAATTGTACCGAATAATTTCAGCAACCCTGTGTAATCCATGAGCTATGCATGTAATGTGGATCATCTTTGGGTATAATACATTTAATCCTCGCATTGCTTTCAACATATACGGAGCAGCGTCAGTCGTCACAACTAGAATATTATGGTACAAAATTTGGTCAGGCCAAAGTTGTAAGAGAGATTCATTGAAGAACGCTGCTATAGTTGAATGATTCACAGCGTCCAGCAAAGCCATATTTCCGCGATAGCATTTATCTCGTTCATCCTCTTCTCCAAGAATTCCAAGCACAAAACAAGCGACAAATCGCTGCTCCACATCAGTAGTCTCATCTATAGACACCCATAATTTCTTGCCAGCGACTTTTTTCCTAAGTTTACTTATCTTACTCTTGTACACATTTTGTACATAATATTTTCTAAGAGTACTTTGATCAGGCATATCTTTTCCAGAAATTTCCTCCAAAAAATTCCGAAATTCAACTGAGCTGAGTTTATTTAGAGGGATGTCAGCAGACAACAGCGCACGACAAAGTTTCTCATTGAACTGTTTTTGCGGTGAAGTTCCCATCTCCTGTTCAATTCCAATATCCTCCCTATCACCATCATTCATATTGGGGATTTCCTCATTAATACTTTGCACGTTGTTCCGGTGTTTCTTGGTTTTGGAATGTTGCACGAAATCAGACTTTTTCAACCTGTCCATCTGAAAAAAAGGGATTTCATGATGTAGCTCACATAATTCAGACTAGTAAAACTTGCAACAATGACTACTGACGAAAACAATATTTTCCAACCACGGTTTCATTACTTGATAAGACTCAATTTTATGTGGAAAACGAATATTTCAACATTTTATATTAATATATTCAGATGAATAGCAGTTCATTCTAATATAACAAAGTAATAACGTCGCATTCAGTGAGTGTTATACCGTCATTGAGTGCCCGATTCTGTCTTGCCTCTGAAAATTAGATTAAGAAAACACTTGACGTATATACCATTTTCTCACCTTCACATGACAAAACTTGCACTGTATCACTCCATCAACATCCTCAAAGTCTTTGAACTCATCGAGTAATTTTCTTTTGAGCTTGTGTGCCTGAATTTTTGGCATCTTTGCAAGCTGAAATGTGGAGAAAGTAGTAAAGTTTATAATTTAGAAGTAAATATTACAACTATGGAACTATGAAAATGCTACTAACTTACTTTTAAGTAACCGACGGAAATACTTCAGAATCTACTATCTAGTAACTGATATGCCAATTATATCGATTGCAAGGAATTGTAGAGGTGAAAGAGCGATGTGATTATGGAAGAAAGTAGTTGTGGTTTCATTCACTTTAGTTCACTACACATTATGCAGAATGATAGATGAATAAAATTACAATAATAATTATACATTACAGACCAATAAAATATTTCCAATATTATAGACAAAAAAGTAATTGTATGAATGAAATCTGCAATTGTTAAAGCACAATCAATCAATAGATATTTTTTCCAATAAATAAATTTTAACATTATAGTGAAGTCAAATAAACAGGACATTAGAATATTATAATCCATTTTTCATCCATAAAATAATACCAAAACATAACAGACACTTACCTGTTGATCTTACAGTTCTGTCGTGACTACTGTTCACTTACAGGGCTGTAGGGTCAACACATCACCTCGTTTTCTCCTCTTCTAAAAAAAATATTTTTTATTCTTTTTTTATCTCTCAGATTGGAAAATAATTCGTTATTAATTGTTTGTGCATTAACAATTTTAAATTTCATTCAAACAATTACCTTTTTCTCTATAATATTGGAAATCTTTTATATAAATAAATTGTAACTGAAAACAAAATTAGAACATTAAAGATGCAGAGTGAAGATTATTTAAAAGGATTATTCTTGGATTAAGCTTTTAATAATAAAAGCTTAGAAAAATAAGCTTATGTTAAAATGCTTAATTATATTTTTAAGCTTATAAGCTAATGTCACAACCCTAATCATGATTAGGGTTGTGACAATATGCAAAATGCATAACTGCATATGCTGCATCAAATTTGACGTCAGTGCATATGCCCTATCGTTGGAGCATATGCGGTAAAGTTAGAGCATATGCCCTATCGTTAGGGCATATGCCCTATCATCGGAGCATATGCGTAAATGTTACAGCATAGGCAAATTGTTGCCGCTTATGTATTCATATTAGAGCATATGTAATTTCGTGTTTATATGCCTGGTAGTAATTGAATTGTAAATTAGCGACGGGCCGGCTGATATAAAAATCTGCATCAAACACCGGAAAGATTTCAACCTCATGTCATCCCGCGGAAATTAGAAGATCAAGAAACACGTTTTTACCGCTTTCCGTCCATTGTTAGGGAGTAAATTTGTGAACAACCATAATATTGGTGAAATTCATACTTTACCCCATACTTTGGCACAATTTTCCGAGGGAACTAGCGCATCAAACAGCAAATAACCAAACGCTCAATAATATATACCCTTTAGCGATGCGCGCGGCTACGCGGTGAGTCTCCCGGCACTCGGTGTAGACTGTAAACCTCGGACTGGCTCAGCAGTTGGCCAGCCGTCGCTGTAATCATTGAATCTTTGATTTTTCGGCATCATGCCAAAAATTGCAAAATCTAACACCCAGAAAGCTGCAGATTTGGTGAAGGAATTTGAGTGCTTCATTGTAAAAGAAGATAAATTAACTTGCAAATACTGCAACAAACAGGTATTATTAATAGATGTTTTTATATAAAACCGTATTATTAATACATTGTTATCTGGTATATCATAAAGCTTTTATACACAATGATAAAATTTTCTGATTATTTTCATCTTAAAGATTACTTAGATGTGTTAATACATAAGCACTTAAATGAATATATTATGCAATAATAGTGTAGAATCGGATTCGTTAAAATGTTTTTGTCCCATAACTACTATTTTTAGGCTCAAACTTATTGGGAAATCATTATTAGATTTGAAACTCTCATTTGATACGTAAAGTAATAAATATTTTCTTAGATTCCAGTTTCAAGAAAGTTTTATGCAGTGCAGCATTTGAAAACCAACGCGCATGAAAAAAACAAAAACAAGATCACCGAAGAAGCTGGTGCTGGTGCTGAAGCTGGCCAATCCACCTCCAATAATAATGACAAAACTAACAAAAATAAATTTAACAGTGATCTTTGCTATGCTATGTTGTCTGCAGACATTCCACTAAACAAGTTGAGTAACACCATATTTAAACATTTCTTATCAACCTATACTGGGCACAACATACCTAACCAAACAACTTTAAGAAAATATTATGTCTCTTCCTTGTGCGACAAAACCATCGCAATACTGAGACAAAAAGCTGCTGGTCGGAAGATCTGGGTGTCGTTGGATGAGACCACCGATGTTGAGCAAAGGTATATCGTATGCTTTATTTTCGGTATCCTAGGCGATGAAACCGAAGTAGGTAAATCGTACCTTGGGAATGTTTCCATTCTAGAAAAGGTTAATCATTCAACAGTGGCAGCTTTTTTCAACGATTCTTTAATAAAAATATGGCCGGAGCACATTCTGTATGAAAACGTTATGCTGGTAGTCACTGATGCTGCAGCTTATATGTGCAAAGCGATGAGAGCATTACAAGTTTTGTACAGCAATATGATCCATGTAACTTGCTTGGCTCATGGGTTGCATCGAGTTGCTGAGTTAGTTCGTTCAAATTACCCTTTAGTCAATAAGTTCATTTCATCAGTCAAAAGGATATTTGTTAAAGCACCGTCCAGATTGCGGAAATTCCAAGAACTGGCTCCTGGTGTACCTCTTCCTCCATCACCCGTAATAACAAGATGGGGAACATGGATCGAGGCTGTCAGTTATTTTAACAGATATTACGATAATGTATCGGAAGTAATAATGTCACTTGATACTTCAGAGTCTGTGCAAATAGCAGAAAGCCAGGAGCTGCTGGACAATATCGAATTGAAAACTAGCTTGTGTTTCATTGCCACTTCTTTTGAGGGTCTCTGTAGTGCACTCAAAAAGTTAGAAACAAAAGGTCTGACTCTGTCTGCTTCAATAAATTTAATTGATGATGTCCAGAAAGATTTAAATAGGCTGTATGATAAAGCTTATATTGAAAAACTTTCTAATGTTTTGAAAAAAAATTCTGGCTTCAGTTCATTGAAGGATATAGAGTCCGTCTTATCAGGTAAGACCCGGGTCTTACCGGATCCCATTGCCAGATTCACAGATGTCATTTCATATTTTAAATACGCTCCTGTTGTTTCATGTGATGTAGAAAGATTTTTCTCACAGTATAAAACTGTTCTGGCCGATAATAGGCGGCGATTTGATTTTGAAAATTTGAAGTGTCACCTAATTGTGAAATGTAATTCTCTTGTGTGAAAATGCTCACATAATTATTTGTTAATTTGACGGTTGCGGGTATTTTGTTGTTTACTTTAGTTTATTTATTGAAAAATGTACTATTACACTGTTGGTGACCACTTGTTTCATTTTCTAACCTAATCCCACTACCAAAACATCTCAATAATATCAGATTTTGAAATTGGCTTATGGTGCATTAACTGCATATTTTATGGAATAAACGCATACTTAGTGCATAAACGCATACTTTTAATGCATAACAGCATATTTTTACAGCATAAATTGCATATTTTTTAGCGCATATAATGCATATTCGTTAGAGCATATTGTCACAACCCTAATCATGATACACGAAGTGACATCAGGCACATTTGTATTAACTTCTACTTGCCAGCCCACCACTTCCATACCAGCAACATACATCTTATTCTAAAAGTTTCTCAGAACTTAGTCTGAAAATTAAATGTTAACAAGGTTCAATATAACACTAACAAGATCAAGCCTTCGAATGTTTCAAGTTGTCGACACTTGTGCGCTTTTCTACTCACGTCATACCACTTATCTACACCACACAGCACCCTTATCTCCATCTATTGAAGGGTTACCATAGTGAAAGGATGGCACAAGATAAAAACTTCTCCCTGAAACGGAGATTGGCCATGCACATATTGGCAAATTGCTGAAGGGCACAGATGGTAGAGACATTACCACTAATCCAGCAGTCCAAGTTCATGGCAACCCTTAACATCCCGTTTCATAGGAGGAAATGGACCCATTTACCAGCGGCCACATGCCTTGTTACAGCATAGCTGTTACAGATTTAGGTGGATTGAGGACGAGACTTATGCTACCAAGTGATATACAATGTCCAGAAGATAATGCTTTACAGCTCTGTCCCTCGAGGTTAGATTCTAAGGGGTAACAAGGTAATAGGAAGACTTGGCTTTACACCTCCCACTCCTGAGCAGCGGCCTTACAAGCGTCCTACATCTAACCCTTGCTTGAGCAAGGCAACTCATCTCACAGCCAGATAAATCTGGCACTCCAGCCTGCTCCTGGAGAAGGCTTTTTAGCGATTTTGGTGCTTGTTGCAATAACTGTCCTATTGTAGAGGATTTGCTACTCATTCTAGGCATTTGTATGCTTAGAATGGTTACATAATTTTATATTTACCATACATCGAATGTCACAGCATTATGGTAAAGTAATGGGGGAAATTTAGGTATCATGGCGTAGAGAATTGTGGTAGTGAAAAGGTTAAAGGGAGATCGTTCATTATGAAGAAATTTAGTTCATTAAACAATTGTTCATAATGGCTATTGCTTTAAAAATAGGACAAGCAAAGTAAACAAAAATTTTAAAATTTTATTCGAGACACATCGAAGTAGA